GTCGTCGAGGTACGCCACCACCTTGGCCTCGGGGTCCACGCGGCGCGCCGCCGTCTCCAGGCACTCGTAGAGCGCCCCCGTCGCCACTGCGAAGAACGCAGGGGACAGGGGGCAACCCTGGTCCACCCCGCGCTGCGCTGTGACCGGCGCCGCTCTGGCCCCGGGAAGGCGGGCCCCGTGCGTGGTGGCGCCGCCGTGCCACGCCGCCGCGAGCCGCGCCAGCTGCGGCAGGCGGCCGGAGACCTCCCGCAGCAGCGTGTCCCGGCAGAGCTCGTTGAACGCGTTGGCCACGTCCAGGGAGAGCACGGCGGCGCCAGGGTCCCTCTCCAGCGCGGTCGCCACGACGCGGTGCATCAGCTCGATCCCGTTCTTGCGGCCAACGCCAAACTGGTGGCGCCCCACTGCCGTGGCGATGGCTTCTTTGTGAGCCGCCGTGGCCGCCTTGGCCGCCATCCTGCGCAGCGTCTCGCCGCAGGCAAGCGGCCGCGCACCGCCCCCGGGCTTCAGCAGCGGCAGCAGCCGCCCGGCGAGGAGAGCCTGCTTCGCCTGCGCCGGCGCCCGGCCCTCGAGGATGAGGACGAGGACCTGCGCGAGCGCCTGGGCCCCCTCCTCGTGCCCGCGCAGGGCCGCCCAGTGCTCGAAGCGGGCGCCAGACAGGCCCGGGCCCAAGTGGCGAGGGTACTTCCCGAGGCTGCCTGCCACCGCCTCGGCGGCCTCAGCCTCCCAGGGCGGCGGGGGGCGCGCCGGGGGCGGCGGCGGCGCGCGGGCCCCGGCGGTCGCCTCCGGGAAAAGGGCGGCCAGGTCGCGGGCCACCTCGGGCCCGCGCGCCAGCGTGCCAGGCCCGGCGGCCGCCGCGGCCGCGCGGCCCACCTCCCCGAGCACGATGAGCTCGTGCACCCGTCGAGCCACCTCCTCCGGCTTACGATGCCCTGGGCGGTCTTCTTCTGGTTCTCCGGGTCGTGCGGTCGCGGCCCACAGCGCCGCCCAGCCCCCCGCCCAAGCCTGGCGCAAGCGGCGCGGCAGCACCTTCGAGGCCGACGGCCGCTCGTCACTGCCGCTGGCCGGGGGCACCGCGAACAGAAGCCTCGGGAGCAGGAGCAGCTGGGCCCACGCTGCCTCGCACATGGGGCGCGCCGCGACGGCTCGCAGCGCCGCGGCGAGCACGTCCGCGACCGCCGCGACCAGGGTCGGGGGCGTCGCCGTCCACGTGGGCACGGGCTCCCGCAAGGCACCGTTCAAGTCGAAGCCAGCCCACCACTCCAGCCTCGGGAGCTCGCCCGCTTCCGCCGCCAGCACGTGCCGCGGGTGGACGTCGTTGGCGGGCGCGTCGTCCTCCTCGCGCGGGACCGCCCCCGGCAGAGGCGCAGTGCAAGCGAAGATCTCCACGCGAGCCTCCTCTGGCAGCGCCGCCAAGCCCTCCACCGAGCCCAGGGGCACGCCGCCCGCGATGCAGGCTGGGTGGCGGAAGTGCCGGTCTGGGTTCGCCCTGCTCGCAAGGCGCACTGCCCCTGGCTCGAAACCCGAGCAACACACGCAGCATGCCGCCACGTGCTTCCGAGGGGCCTGGCGGCTGGCCACCCAGGCGCGCACCCTGGGCGGGCGCCCTGCAGCAGCGGCGGGCGGCGCAGCAGCGGCGGCAGCAGGCGCGGCACCGGCAGCGCTCCCCGGGGCAGCAGCGGCGCCAAGTGCACCGCCAAATTGGGCTGCCCCGAGAAGCGCGGCCGCGGCCGCGGCGTCCTCGTTCTGATCCCCGCCCCGCCCAGCAGCATCCAGCATCTCCACGTCCTCCTCCATGGCCCGGGGGTTGGGGAAGGAAGGCGAAGGGGGTGAGAGGTGAAGAGCGGGTGAGATGAAGTATGTCAGGGCCGCTCACGCCCTCTCGCCTGACAATACTTGAGCCATCCTCCTTGAGCCTCCTCCTCCTCCTCCTCCTCCTCCTCCTCCTCCTCATCATCATCATCATCATCATCATCATCATCATCATGATCATCATCATCATCATCAGCATCATCATCATCATCATCATCAGCATCAGCATCAGCATCAGCATCAACATCAGCATCATCATCATCATCATCATCATCATCATCATCATCATCATCATCATCATCATCATCATCATCATCATCATCATCATCATCATCATCATCCATGTGCTCCTCCTTCTCCTCGACCGGCATCAGCTCGGCTCGGGCCCTCCGCTCGTTCGGCCGAGGCCGCGCCACGGGGACCCTCGCTCCGCTTCCGCCCCCTCCCCTTCCCCAGCGAGCCGTGATGTTGTCGTCTGCGGCCGCGGCGCCGCGCCGGCGCCCAAACCGCACAGCAACTGGGCGGCGCTCCCAAGACCCGCGGGCGGACGCCCAGGCTGCCTCGCGCCTCCTCGGCGCTGTCGCGGAAGTCGCCAGCCATCGTGGCTCGGCCATCTCCCGCTGCGGACCGGCCGTGGCGTCGGCGAGGTTCCGCGCCAGCCCGCGCCAGGCGGCGGCGGGGCAGGCGGCCGCGGCGGCGCGCCGCCGCAGCGAATCCTCAACGCCCGCGGCGGAGGCCGCAGCAGCTGCCGAGGAGGGGGCGCCCGAGATGACGGGGGTGGCCGAGCTCGGCGACGCGGCTTGGCGGACCAACTGGCCCGCCCAAGCCGAACGCCTCGTCGCGGACCTTCGTGCTGCTCGTGGAGCTGACGGCGGTCCCGAGCTTCTGCCCCATCTGACTACCTACCAGACCTCCCCCGACCCAACCCGAGACCACCGCTGGGACCTGCCAGGCCACCTCAGCCCGAGATGTGGGAGGGTCTCGGACCTTCGGGTTGGGTTGGGGTGGTTTGGTGAGTGGTGAGTCCCGCCTGCCTGTGGGGAATGCTCTTGTCTGGAGGGCGGGAATGGCACCGCTGCCGTGCCGCTGGACGGGCCAGCTGCTTGCGCCGGGGGCGCGGGCCCAGGGCCCCTTCGGGGGATGACTGCCCCACCGCTGGCCGCCCGCGTGGGCTGGGAGGGCAGCGCGGCACGCGAGCAGCTCCTCGGCGACATGGGGGCGCTGCGGGGAGCGCCGCAGGGGCCGCGAATCGACTGGGCTGCCACCACGCCTGCCATGCCTCCCGCGGGCGCGGAGTGCCCACACCAGTGAGGCCGCGTCGTGTGGTTCCTGTGGCTCGTCGTGCTAGTCGGCAATCGGTGCTCAACTGTGTCACGTTTTTCGTCGCGCGCTATGCTCGCCGTTCGGGAGCGTGGAGTTTTCGAGCTGGCAGTTTGCTCGTCCCCGACTACCTGTATACAACATCGGCTTTGCCATAGTTGGTTGTGCAGTTGGTGGTCATATATGTGTACGTATGTGTTGTCTGTCACTCTGCTATCGGCCCCTTCTCGGCTGGAGAATCATGAGCGTTGCCGTAGGCTTCACAGGCGTGGTATATCTCACCGTCCTTGGAGTTCTGGTTGCGCAAAACTGTGAACAGTCATATTGTCATAGTGTGTCGCAGTGGAGTGCTCCTGAGTGCTTCGTCGTGGCGCTCGGGCTCAACGTCGTGGTGTCCGTGGCGCTCAGGGGAAAGGCGTGTTTGCTATGACGTCGTCAGTGTGTCCACTCCACTCCACTCCTCCTCTCCTCCTCCCCCTCCTCCTCGTCCTCCTCCTCTTCTACCTCCTCCTCCTCCTCCTCCTCCTCCTTCTCCTACTTCTCGACCTCCTCCTCAAACTCCTCCTTCCGCACTCCCTTCCCCCTGTCCCGCTCCCCGCTCACCATCCTGGCAGCCTCCTTGTCGTCTTCGACGTGCGTCCCCCCCTCCTTTCTTCATTCTCTCCCTTCCCATCCTCCTCATCCATCCTCCTCACCCTCATTGCCATCCCTCCTTTCTCGTTCGCCTCCTCCTCCTCCTCCTCCTCCTTCTCCTCCTCCTCCTCCTCCTCCTCCTCCTCCTCCTCCTTCTCTCCTCCGTCACCTCCTGACCTCAGCCATCCATCCATGACCTGTCCTTCACCTGATCCACGTTTCCGTCCATCGCCTCATCTCCTCTGCCGCATACTCCTCATCCTACTCGTGCTCCTGCTCCTACTCCACCCCCTCCACCTCATGCCAGCACTTCTCCTCGTGCATCGCATTATCCTTATCCTGCGCCGCTAGCGGCTACACACATTCCTGATGCTACTCCCCCCTCTCCTCCTGTTCCTCCTTCTGCGTCGTCTCCTGCTCCTGCTCCTGGTCCTCCTCCTCCTCCTCCTCCTCCTCCTCCTCCTCCTCCTCATCCTTCTCAGTATCATCATCAGCATCACCGTCATTATCATCATCATAATCATCATCATCATCATCACCATCATCATCATCATCATCATCATCATCATCATCACCATCACCATCACCATCACCATCACCATCATCATCATCATCATCATCATCATCATCATCATCATCATCATCAGCATCAACATCATCAGCGCCATGATCATCCTCACCATCATAATCATCATCATCATCATCATCATCATCATCATCATCATCATCATCACAATCGTCATCACCCTACCTCTCATCCTCATCATTGTCCTCATCCTGGGTCACAGCCTTCGAACTCCCAAGGCTGAAGAGCCCCCAGCCACTCAGGAGCTGCACTTGGTCTATGTTTGTCTGACTGTCTCCATGCTTTCGGGCTGAATTACACTGAAGCCCGTGCGCTCGGGTAGCCGACCCTTCCAAGGGCCGATCATGAAGAGGATGACGATCCTTCCTCCCAGGGGGGCCCCGTCGCTGGCCCCCGGTTGGTAGTTCCGGCCCCTCGCGGTGACGATAAGGTCCTCTCTGTCTCTCTCCTCCCTCTCTCGGTCCCTCTCTGTCTCTCTCTCCTCTCTCCTCTCTGTCTCTCCTCTCCCTCCTCTCTCTCTCTCTCTGTCTCCCTCTCTCCGTCTCCATGACGTGCAATCCTCCTGATGATGCTCCTCACGCCATCCCCCCGTGGGCGCGGTCTGGCGCCCTGGCGTATACCTGGCACCGCCTGGCGCTGGCCCTCGGGGCGTCTAGTGGGCCATCGGCTCCGCCGAGAGCCCCGTGACCATCTGCTCCGGGTTGGCCACCACCTGAGAGGCAACTCCCGCTCTCGTCCTCCTCCATCTTCCTTCTCCTCTTCCTCCTCCTCCTCCTCCTCCTCCTCCTCCCTGCTCCCCCTCCCCCCCACACCCTGTTCCTCCTCATCCACACTCCCCCATCGTACTCCCCTCCCTCCTCCTCCTCCTCCTCGTCACCTCTCCTCGCTCCTCCTCTTCCTCCTCCTCCTCCTGCTCTCCTTCTCTTCCTCCTCCTCCGCCTCCTCCTCCTCCTCTTCCTTCTCCTCCTCCTCCTCTTCCTCCTCTTCCTTCCTCCTCCTCCTCCTCCTCCTCCTCCTCCTCCTCCTCCTCCCCCTCCTCCTGCCTCCTTCTCTCTCCTCCCTCGCTCCTCCCCTCTCCTCCCTCTCTCATCCTCTCTCAGATTCCCTCCTCTCTTCCTTTCCCTCCTCCCCCTCCTCCTCCTCCTCCACCTCCTCCTCCTCCTCTTCCTTCTCCTCCTCCTCCTCCTCCTCCCCTCCTCCTGCTCCCCGTCCCCCCTCTTCCTCCTTTTCCTCCTGTTCTCCTCCTCTTCTTCCTCCTCCTCCTCCTCCTCCTCCTCCTCCTCCTCCTCCTCCTCCTCCTCCTCCTCCGTAACCATTTTGGCTGAGGCCTCTCCGTAGGCCCCCCGCTCATGAACCCTGCCCCTCGGCGTACCCTGCGACCCCAGTCCCGTGGGGCAACGCGGCGGGCGTGAGCGACGGGGGGGGGCTTTGGGCTCTCGCGAATGGCGATGGGCGGCGGCCCGAGTGTGGCTGCCCAGCGCCCTGTGCGTGGGCGAGGCGATCGCCCTCGCGCCTTCGGGTGCGAGGCGGACGGCACGCGTCGGGGGCCCGCGCGCTTGCGAGGCCGAGCTCTCTGGGGACCTTCTCGGAGACGGCGGCCCTGGCGGGTGGCGCGACCGAGAGCAGGCTGCGAGCCCAGCCTTGCAGCTCCGCGCTGTCGGTCTCCGTGTGCCAGGTCGCGCTCGCCGCCGCGGGAACGCGGCGTGGCATCTGGCTGCCGCGCTCCGGCGCTGGGCTTCGCTCGCGCCAGCGACGGCGCCCTCGCGCAGGCTGCAGCGGGCCCCCGGCTCGAGGACGTGGCTCGTGGCGATCCACGTGTTCCTCTTCGCGTTCTCGGCAGCGCTGGTGGAGTCTCGGGCAAGGCTTGTTGTGATCCCACCCTCGTGCTGCAGGAGTCCGCAGCTGTCTACACCCCCAGGCTCTGGGCCCACAGGGGATCGACCTGCTGCTCCAGGAGAGGAGCGTGGACCAGCCGTGGGCCTCAGAGCCTCTCACTGATGGAGGCTGGCCCGCAACGGCCCAGGAGTGTGAGGACGCCACCGCATCAGCGCTGTGGTCTGCCCACCGTTCAACGTCGTGCCGCGTCTGGCACCTGTCACCGTGCCCTGCTGGCCCGACGAGAGGCCCGACGCGATGCCAACGCACAGCCCGACGCCCAGCCCGCCGTTCGGTCCGACGCCGAGCCCAACTCGCCGTCCGACGTCGAGGACAACTTGCCGTTCGGCATTGCTGGGACCATGGCCGCAGACTATGGGCGGGAGCCTTCTGGCGGAGACGCCGGCCCGCGCGGCTTGGGTGGGCCGTCCAGCCTGCCCAACAGCACAGCGTTGCGGCTCTCCCGTGACTATCGTGACCGTCATCGCCGCGTTCCTGCTGCAGCTGGCCCCATCGCGGGCATCGGCGCTCCTCAGCATCACGATCCTGGCTGTCGGCAGTAGTGAGCTTCACCATCAAAGCCTGGCTGGAGGACTTCACGGACGTGTCCTTCACGCTCCTTTCGTACTCCCCACCGTGTCGTTCGGCGTCGCCTTCTTATACGCGCTCCACGACCTCGTGAACGGCAGCGGTTCGGGGAGAGAGCGGCGCAGTGGCAAAAAATCCTCTGGCTCGTCCTCCTCCTTCTCCTCCTCCTCCTCATCATCATCATCATCATCATCATCCTCCTCCTCCTCTTCCACCTCCTCTTCCTCCTCATCCTCCTCCGCCTCCTCCTCCTCCTCGTTCTACCTCCTCCTCCCCCCATTGCACCTACCACTCATCCCCTCCCACACCCCTCTGCCTCGTCCTCCCCCCAAGGGCCAGATCGAAAGTGGGACGCAACACATCGAGGTCGGTCAGTCTTCCCGCAAGCGGGGGGGGAGGGAAGAGGACGCCGCCTGCAGCGCAGTCAGGGCAGGGCCCAGGAGGATGAGGAGAGAAGGGGGAGACGAGGGAGAGAGGAGCGTTGGCGTTGGGTTCCCCTGGGGGCCCCAGGGAGTTGGGAAGGGGGGGGCCGCCTGGCGCCCCAGGGCGGGGGGGGGCGGGCACGCCACGCCACAGCGAGGGCCTCGCCCAGGCGCTCCCGCGCCGCCCCCGGGCGCGCCACGGCGTGGGGTGCGGGTGCGGGGCGGCGCCTGGCCCTCTCTGGGGCCAGGGCGCCGCGCGCACAGAGGCCAGGACGGGCGCTCGTGGCCCCACCTCGGGCCCGCCCGAGGAGCCGCGCGCAGACACTGGCCGAGATCCCCAGTGGTGATTCGCCACGGGCGTCGCGGTCCTCACACGATGGCGGTATCGGATCTCGGGCCCGCGACACTCATCCCGTCCCCGAACTACTGTGCGAGCCCAGCCGCATCCCGCACGCGACCAAAGCGCCACCCGCCTCGCCGCCCATCCACAAGCCGCCCAGCGACCCACCCGCGACCCACCCCGCGACCCACCGGCGACCCGCCGACCACCAGCCCGCGCTTCACCTACATCAATTCGACGAGCGGCGGGCCAGTCGCGATTGCTTTTTGGGGGTGCCATCGCGTGCCCCCGCCCACGCGGCCCTCCGACGACCCGCTCCGCGACCCACCCACACGGCGGGCTGTGTTTTGCGTTGGTTTTGGACACGACGCCGCTGTGCCCCCACCTGCGCAACCCGCGAACGACCCACGCCGCGGCCCACCCACACTGCTTTGAGACAGCCCCCCCCCGACAAAAAATGCCCAGTGGCTCTGGATAACACAAGTGTGCAGGTCGCAGCCGAAGCCGCCACCGCCGCAACCGACCATGGCGACGAGAGCGGAGCGGGAAGAGGAAGGAGAACGAAGGAGGCGTTGGGAGGACAACGGGGGGGGGAGGCCCAGGGGAGGAGTACGAGGAGAAGGCGGGAGGAGCAGGAGGATGTTTTTCTCCTGGAGCCCTCAGGAGGCCAAACCGTTTGTTCCACAACAAAGAACGATCGTGCTCGATTGGCCGGCCAGGTTAATGTCACCGCATTCTCGGCGATCGGCACGTCTACGTATTGGTAACCCCCGCTCCTGAATTCGAAGGGCGAGAGTCTGCACACCAGGGGTCTGGATCAAACCCCTTGGTCCTGAAATCGTGCTCACCTCGTCTGGAGGTGGCAGGGCAGAGGCATAGGCTAAATTCGAAACCCCTCGAGGACTGGAGGAACTAACACGAGCGCCCTCCTCTCTGTAGTGGGGGTACAAACCTTGGAAGGCCCTACGCAGGGTAGTGGGCGCACCCGAGAGCTTATGCTGGGGACATTCTCTACCCAAAAGGTGGCGCCGGCTAGACGTATAAGCGCCACGCACCAAACAGAATTATAGCCGGAGTGCAGTATCCCCAAACAGAATGTTTAAACCCACTGCGGCTTCCAAGGTCGATCGCGTACCCGCCCAATGCGGGCTGGCATGGCATGTTCGAGCATGATAACGTGATGCTTACACATGAGATGTTTACACGAAAACTTGTGTGACGCATGCCTATCAGGAGGCTAGCGCTAGAAGGTGTCGTACTCTCTTACACCTGATCGACGAGTAAGCTGTCGGGTCGGTACTGTGAGAGGCCCCACCGCCATGCTGTGAACTCGGAAGCAACTGTAAGAGGAAGCGGGGGAGGGCGCGGAAGTGGGGGGGCATGTCGTGATGGTTTCCCCGGGGATGATATCGAGAGGTACGCGGCGCACGTCTCAAAAGAAACATCGCGATGTCGGATGTCTGGGGAGGGCGGAAGGCAGGGCGCGCACGACGGATGCTGAGGCGGCAAAAACGACGACGGCGGGGACGATGAGGCGGAGACAGAGGCGCAGCAGCGGGAGGCGGGAGGCGGGAGGAGGGAAGAGGAGCCAGGCGGGAAGCGGGAAGAGGAAGGCGGGAGAAGGAATGAGAGAGGTTGTGATTGGAGCCCCTGTGCTACGAAACGTCTCAGGCAGAACGGGCCAGACCATCTCGCGCGCAACATCTTCGAGCTTCGCATTGTGAGGATGGCTCAAGCGAAACGGGCGGGACCACTCGCGAGCGACATCTTGGAACTCAGTATTGAAAGGATGTCTCAAACGAAACGGGCCGGACAACCTCTCGCACACGTTCTGACAAGTCCACGTCACACTCGCTTCCCGGTAGGTCCTCTCCTGCACCTCCCTTCCTTCTCCCTCCTCCTCCTCATCATCATTCCCCTCCTCCTGCCTGCTCCCTCATCCACATCATCCTCCTCCTTTTCCCTTCCATCTCCTTCTCCTTTTCCTCCTCTTCCTCCTCCTCCTCCTCCTCCTCCTCCTCCTCCTCCACCTTCATCCCGAACGGCATCTCGGAGCCTAGAGTTGCGAGGATGTCTCCAGCGTAACGGACTGGATCACCTCGCGCGCGGCATCTCGGACCCCAGAGTTGCGACGATGTCTCGGGCGAAACGTGCTGCGAGGAAGTCTCAGGCGAAACGGGCCGGACCACCTCGAGCGCGGCATCTCAGAGCTCCAAGTTGCGGGAGCCTCCTGGGGCCTCCTGGGGACCTCCTAGGGCTTCCTCCCGGGCCTCCTGTGGCCTCCTGGACTCCACCTGGGGCTTCCTGAAGCCTCCTGGGGCTCCCAGGAGGGGATATCTAACATGTGGCCGCTTGGGCACCTCAAAATGGGGGGGCCACACGAGCAGGAAAAATCAACGAATCGACTCTGGATGCGTATTAACTTGACACGTTCTGATAGGGGGCCTCCTGGGGTCTCCTGGGAGCCTCCTGGGAATCTCCTGGGGA